TAGTAATTTTGCACCAATCAAGCCATATCAAAATAAATTGTTTCTACTTGAAAAATTAAGAATTTGTTAGAGTTCGGAACGAATTCAGAGCAAATTACACAAACCTAAAATATTTTGATAAAATTAAATTTATGTCTATCTATATTATTATTATCAATTTAATATAATTGAACTAAAACTAATATTTACTAGCTGTAAAAGGCTAACAATTTGCATGCAAATCATAAACACCACAAAAGTTCAATGCAGAGCTGTGAAAAGCGAAAATGTTGCGCATACGCCGTGGTGGTATAAGGACCCACTTTAAATTTGTTGTAGCACTTCAAAGCCAGTTTGTTAAATACATTTTGAGCATTTTTACACAAAGCTATACCTATAAAGTGTTGTTGTCATTTGCTTAACATTGTTTTGTGTAATAAAATTTGCAATTAACCAGCGGCAACATAAATTTAATTAACAGATAATTTGCATTTTAGTGCCCATTTCAATTAATATTCACTGAATAGCATTAAGTGCTTGTCATTTGGTTTAACTATACTTTGGGAATAACTAATTAAATGTATATGCTATTGCGTAAATCTGCCTTTAGCGTGATATTAATATTGCACATATCACTAAATCACCAGAATATGTATCAATGCACAGGCAGAAATAATACTGTGAGGTATGAGCTCTTTGTGAACAGCAGAGGCGCTATGAAGTTTTGCAAAAATTTAGTGGCGTGGAACACGAAATCTCTTTTCTCAAAGTTTTTTAACTCGTCTTCATCCGAAATGTATATAATTTTGCTAATGATTATAAGTCCTTTCCATGAGAGAAATGCCAACAAAAATGATGCCTTTCTGTAAAAGAAATATTTTATTTTGATGCTTTGTAAAATATTAATGTTTTATATCTTTTGATGTTATGTAAAATGTTATCAAGTCCTTGCCAGTGAAACTATAGTAAATAGTATCTGAGGATTATTATTTTACAGTTTATGTTTATACTATTTCATTTACGTTTCTATAATTTTAACAGAGAAATGTTGGCTGTTAGAATTTTTACAGAATCGTTGTAGAATATTTGTAGAGAAATTGGCCAAAATTTTTTTATAGTGTAAAAGAGTATAAGAAGATCTTTACAAATATATTGATTTTGTGCGGTCCGTTATATGGCAGCCGAAACTATGTATTATTAAGTCACAGAATCAGAAATATGTACGAATATAGAATTTAGGCTGAGAAGGCTATATTTTCACTATGAAATTTAAAAAATGTCATATTAACAGAGAAATGTTAAAAAAAATATTGTATGTAATGTTAATTTACAGAATCACATTTTTAGTAAGAAATGTTTGCTTTGAATGCTGTTAGTAATGTTAAGTGTCAAAATCACATTTTAACAGAGAAATGTTAGCCAAAAATGTGTGTACTGTTAACACTTGCACAATCACATATTATATTTGTAGGACAATTTTGGTTAGTGTTTATATTATGAAATTAAATAATACAATATTAATAGACCTATCCACAGAGAAATATTATAGATAGTGTATAAAAAAAAAATGGCAAGCGAAAACTGAAGACAGAATCAGTGAACAGACCACATTAAAAATGATTACTTCTAATATCTTTACCTACAATATAAACATCTACCCAATAACTCAGATCATTACTGTAATATAAAATTATACAGATAAGACTCATTTATTCGCCACAACCTAGGTATACACATTTTCTAGAGTCTCATTTGAGCAGACGTGTCTTCAAATCTAATTAGTACATCTACTGAATCATCCCCCAAATAGTCAATGAATGAATCAAAACTGCGTGATGTGGCAAGCAATAATAAGCATTAATGCTCATCACACTTATCTAGGTAAGCGTAAATTACTTTCATTAACACGCGTCTGATACTTGATGTACCTACAGATGCAGAAAGCATCACAATTTTTACCGTTAATTTACGCAGCGTACGAAAAGCTTGCGTGCTACTGCCTACACATATTCTGTGTATATGTGTGTGTATTCACACATCCTTAAGAAAACACTTAGAGGAGTGAAATTACACATCTACACCTTTCGTGCGTCAGCCTCTAATCACCTTTCAAATGCGAGCATTACACCAACCATCAACGTCTCAAGCATTACTTGCGTGTAGTTTTCAACCTAGTTTGCCGCAACAACCTCCACATTTGGTGGCAAAATGTTCTTAAATACTTTTGCCATTAGCTCTTCAGCACTTGCGGCAGAATTTCGCCCGAGCGTATTCTATATTTTCGATGTAATTTAAATTAGGCATCTTAAAGGCGTTAAAAGCGCTATCAGCCGTTGACGTTAATATAAGCGTGTCGCTATGTGTGTGCATGTAGGTGTATGTGTGCCCTAAATTCCACGTACACGCAAGCACTATGTCGGCGTGAGTCGCCATAAAAAACTTGCACATTT